TCTGCTAATTAAGGTCAAATGTCCTGTTAGATGCAAGCATTGGGTGACATTTCAGGAAGAGTCTATAAGAGAGCAGGTTTCAAAATATCTCATTCTTTCTCTTTTAGGATGGTGTGACATCAAAGACTGAGTAATAGTAGTGGTTTGCCCTGCTGGGAAGGAATATTTTTTCACTAACATTTTTGTAGAATTGCCAGCACATGATGATAATAAGAACCAAACAGATTTGGTTATTTCTACTGTTGCTTTTGAATTTTCTGCAGGCAATCCCCCCCCCCTTATTGCTACAACTGTGGTGGGCATCTGGGCCCACCCTTGGCCTCCAACTTGGTGGTTGTTTTCTAAAATAGTTCAGTATTCTCACAGCATAATCCCTTCTCCTATGGAAAGGAGAAAAGGCCAGGAATTTGAAGAAAGCAAATGAACTTAAAGTGCTTCCCTTTGGGCTCAAGACTTGATCCAAATATTTATTCTATTCTACAGTGATAAAAGTATCATTAATACTAACTCAAATAAATAAAACATAATCTGAATATCAACAAGAAGGGTTTTTTAGCAATTGTGGCACATGCAAATGATGGAATTCAAATGTAATCATTAAAAATTATGTCTTAGAAACACAGTTAATAACACAAAAAGATTTTTATAATGTATTGTTGATGTTTTTCCTAAATGGTACAGATAGTAGGTGAAGTTTGCTCCTGTTTAATGAAATGAAAATATATGTTTAAATATAGTAGTCTGTTAAGAGTGGTTATCTCTGATAGAATGTAGTGAATTTGTATTATTTCTTGTGATTTTCCTAAAATGAATCTATTACCTGTATAGTAAAAATCAAAGGAAAAGAAATAGCTTTGAAAACAAAGTTTTATGCACATAACTACTTAATAGAGTATTGAACATCTGTCCTTAACTTTGAATCAATAGGTAATTTTGCAAGTTAATCCTTGTACATCATGTCAGGGCCTCACATTAACGTAATCTTTTCTTAGCAAATCCAACTTTGGAGATTGAACTGTCCCGTCTGCTCCGTCCTCTCATAGCTGCTGTCAACAGAACATTTTTAAAATGCCACTGAAGCTAGAACTTTTTTCCTGGGAAACTAAAACTCTCCCAGAGAAATTTATAATTTATTTTTTTCCTTCAACAATGAAACTATATAACTGTCTGTCTACATTTGCATATTTTTGTGATTACCTTTTATATATTATTCAATATCAAAAAAATGCAGAGGTGGGTATTTGTGTGGTGATTTTTCCAGCTTACAAACCCGGTTAAGACATAACCAACAGCTTAGTTTTCCAGTCTTTGAATGCGTTCCACAGGAAAACCACATTTCTCTTAAAATTAGCAGCGCTGTATAGAAACGTGATTCTGCAGGGGAGATCTGTGAAGATGCAATGTCCCTACTGATTGTAAATCCCTGAGAAAAGTTGACATTCCAGATATAATTGGTAATGTAATGCAACCAACAGTTTAAAACATTGCAGTGGGTTTGAGAGGCTTAAGAGCTCAAGCCTTCCTTTTCATCTCCTGCAATGCAGTTCTCTTCCCAAACCTATTAATTTGGTTGACCTTCTCTGAGTTACAAATGAGGGATAAAGTTTTTCTCTTCTATTCGAAAAGTGCCTTGAGAGATTATTAACTACAGTAAAAGTTAAGTCTGGTACTAGTCACATTAATTAGATTCCCAAGAGATGACTAAGGAGCCCTTTATGACTGCTTACAATAGAATGAAATGTAATAAAATGTTTGAATTTGTTCTGTTAAAAGGAAAACTAACAATAAAAAAGGTCAAGATATAGGAAGATCCCAACAACCACGTTTAGAGAATTTGTGCTATTATTCTTATGACTGTCTCTTCACTTCTGCCTTTCTTTTAAGGTTATCAGCAGATGGGAAGCGAAAATTACTTTTGAAATGACAAAACAACTTGATAAATGCCATCAGTTACTTTCTCAAAACCACTTACTGAAATCTCTCCCTAGGAGATTTCAGTGTGCCTTGTCTTCCATCATATATGAATCTGCCTTCTCCATGGAATTCACTGTTTTCCTCAGAAGATAAACATGCATTATATTCCAGAATTGTAACCCATCTATGAGTATCTTTGGTGAACTCATTAGTTTCTGCATCATATATGGGTGTAAATGACCCTCTCCTTTAAGAGGAAGACACGTAGTTTATGTACACAGAGTGTATACACAGTGGCTATAACTTTAAAAGATTATGATACATGCAAGCATAGATTTTTAAATCATTAGCTATACAACTAGGTATGGGAGGCAGAGATCCTTTTACGTCTTTATGTTTGGAGAATTTTATTCATTAAATGCAAAGCTTCCCATGCCCCACCTCCATGGTGATGTCTTATGAAAAACCTTGTACCTTACGGGTTGGCCATTGTTCAGTTGTCCCAGTTCCTTCACTGATAGGTATGTTTTCTTCTAGATGCATGCAGAACACGGCGGATGGCCCTTCTGACCATGTAGAGGATTACCTCTGTGACCCAGAAGAGATGCCTCTGGGCTCTAGAGAATGCAAATTACCATGTCCCGAGGATTGTGTGATAACTGAGTGGGGTCCGTGGACCCGATGCACTTTGGTGAGACAATTAACCATTTATTAATGTAGAATTTGCTTAATTCCTTACCACTAAAGCTTTAAAAATATTATTAAGAGAATAATAGCTTGGTTACTAAATTAGTTACTAAATTAGTTACCAAAGCAAGGCATATTTTTGGCTACTTCATTCTTATGACTGTGCCATTTAAAATCAGCAATGTTTGGACTCACACTGAAACAGCTCGACCTCTTGCAAGCTTTATGCTCCTCCACCATCCTTCTAAACCCAGCACAGGCTTCAATAGCTGTGGCTCGTGGGATCTAGAGCGCAGGCTCAATAGTTGTGGCACAAGGGCTTAGACGCTCCGCGGCATGTGGGATCTTACCAGACCAGGGATTGAACCCGTGTCCCCTGCATTGGCAGGTGGATTCTTAACCACTGCACCACCAGGGAAGTCCCAAAATGCCTTTACATTTGCTTATGAATTCACAGCATGTTAAAAACTGCAGTGGTGATAATGATTCCCTCCAGGTAAAGGGAAAAAGAATGAAAATCTAGTAAAAATACTTTAATGGTGTCAGGTTATTATCATCCCTTGCTTTTTGCCCAATCCATTTAAAATTGTAGGCATAATCTTTCACACGGTAGGGGTATGGCAGAAGGAGTATTGACACTAAAACGCAAAAGATCCTGGTAAGAAAGGGAGTAGAAAGAAGAAAGCTGTGCATCAGTGAGTCTCTTTCCACACACTGACTCTTGAGTCTCTTTGGGCCTGGAAAGCCAGCTGAGAGTTTCCAATCACACAAAGCTTCTAGATTTCAGCAGCCCGTAGGGCCTCTTCCATGGGACCCTGGGAGGAGAGTCACTTGAAACAGAACTGGCTGATGATGTGGGAAATTTGGCTTACCCTTGTGCATCTTTGTAAAGCTGCACACTTCAGAATGGCATCAAATCATGGAAAAGATACATCTAATGTGGAATTAATTTGCTGAAATATAATATGGGACAGATACATGTTTTCAAGGAGGAATGAATTTTCTATTTCAGGGTTAACATTATTAAAGATGCTGATTAGCAGCCAACTGATAGAGCGGGAGCAAAACAGGGCTGGCAGTTGACTTGGATGCAGGTTAAATTGCAATTAAGAATCATCTGTTTCGGGCTTCCCTGGTGGCGCAGTGGTTGAGAGTCCGCCTGCCGATGCAGGGGACACGGGTTCGTGCCCCGGTCCGGGAGGATCCCACATGCCGCGGAGCAGCTGGGCCCGTGAGGCGTGGCCACTGAGCCTGCGCGTCCGGAGCCTGTGCTCCGCAACGGGAGAGGCCACAACAGTGGAATCAGCTGTTTCACAAGCATATGCAAATGATTTTCTATTCTATTTAATTCCATAGCATCGTATTTTAAGTTACTGTTTCTGATCTTAGTAACCAAATGTTTTCAAAACAAGACTGTACGCGTAGGAGAATGGCAACCAGTCTTTTTAATTAGTGCTAAGTTGTGTTTGTGTGCATATATGTGTGCACATTAGGAAAATAAAGGTTGTATATAACTAGTTATTTAAAGTTCACCCTTAAAACCGTTTTTCAGGTCCTGTCAACTATATTAGATAAATAGATAGATTATAATTTCTGTATTAGTGATCTACAATAATTAGTATGACCATATGTATGTGTTTGTGTATGGATGATGTGATGTATCTATTAATATTTGACACATAGGCTCTTTTTCTCCCAGTTTTACTGAGAAATAATTGACAGACATCATTGTATGTTTAAGGAATATAGCATGATGGTTTGATCTACATATATTGTGAAATGATTACCACAATAGGTTCAGTAGCATCCATCTTCTCAAATAGGTATGATGAAAAGAAAGAAGAAAAGAATAAAGGAAAAAAATGTTCTGCTTGTGATGAGAACTGTTAAGATTTAGTCTCTTAACAGCTTTCCTGTACAACATACAGCAGTGTTAGCTACAGTCATCATGTTGTACATTACATCCCTACTATTTATTATCTTATAACTGGAAATGTGTACCTTTTGACCACTTTCCTCCAATTCTCCCTTCTCTCCTACCCCCACTTCTGGTAACTGTAAGTCTGATCTCTTTTTCTATGAGTTTTGTTTTTTCTTTTGTTTTTTAGATTGCACATACAGTGAGATCATACAGCATTTGTTTATCTCTGTCTGACATTTCACTTAGCGTGATGCCTTCAGGGTCCATCCATGTTGTCACAAATTGTAGAAATCCTCATGTTTTTATGGCTGAATAATATTCCACTGTATAATTATACTACAACTTATTTATCCATTCATCCATTGATGGACACTTCGGTTTTTTCCATATCCTGCCTATTGTAAATAGTGCTGCAATAAACAAGGGGGTGCAGATATCTTTTCAGGTTAGACACATCTCTTAAGCATTGTCGACTGAAGAAACACACACAGCTTAAAAGTTGCGAGTTAAGCTTTATTCGGGGATCTTACTGAGGATTATAGCCTGGGAGACAACCTTTTAGATAGCTCTGAGGAACTGCTCTGAAAAGGTAAAGGAGGAGCCAGGATAAACAGGAGTTTTTTGCTGGGAAAGAACATACAGTCAGACATCAAAAGATTACTGCTAATCACTAAAACAGACATCTCTAGTTAATGACTTTAGTGCTTTCCTGGGTATAGGAAGATGCAAGAATCTGGGCTTATTGAAATTATTCCCTAGACATATCTTAACTATCTTGGGTCAGTATCCAAAGCACAGAATGCTACCTCTTTTCCTCCATCCTGTTTCGCTCAGGGCACATCACCTGCAGCAGCTGCAGTGGCTGGTGCCTTGATCATTGTAGAACTGAGGCAGCAGACAACATTCTTTGTGTACTGGAATGGCAAACAACGTTCCCTGTTCCCAGCATCTTAGAGCTAGCTGGAACATCAGAAACTCATCCAACACCTTGATTTTATAAATGAAGAAACTGAGGCGTTATGAGATTGTTTAAGTTAGCCAGTGTCCCAAAGGTTCTAGCTCTTGCTCCAGTGCTCTCCCTAATACATTAGCTCTTGTGTGGCTGAGTACTCACCTTTCTGAGGAGCTATATTATTCTTTGTCAGCCTTGCAATCAAAGCAGTTTCCGGCAAAGGTCAGCTGATCCCATCAGACAACCTGCTGATGAAGGAAGAGCCTGCCCTGATGCTGTTGAGAAGGAACCCTGTAACCTGAACAAAAACTGCTTCCACTATGATTATAATGTAACAGGTATGTGAACAGTCATCTCCTTATAGAGTTAAAGGTCAAATCCCACGTCTGTCAGCTCAGCAGCATTTCCGGAAGTATTGTTCAACTCCATCTGCGTGCCTTTTGGACATGCTGCTTACTCTCCCAGAAATAATTCCGTATTAAATGAAAGAAATATTTATCTGCCTTATTTTTCATAAACATCAAAATAGAGAATGAAATTATCACACAAACATTAGCTCTTAAGGCAGACGGAGAATAGTCTAAGGGTTCCTACTTAAGCCACCCTCCCACTTTCAGAAGGTGCACATAAAAGGTATATCTTCCCATGGGTATCAGTTTATTGAAAGATGTCTTTCTTCTTCAGAATGTGTTTAATCACTGTGAATACTGGGACAACAATTCTTTCCGTGGGGGCAGTTCATAGGCACGATTAGTCTGCTGTAAAGACATCAGCAATCTTAAGCTTGCCAAGAAGTGCGTGAAGAGAATATAAACATTTCAGAGATATAAATATTATCAAAGGTGTAGGTGAAAAAAGATAGATGAGTGTTTTTTTTAGAAAAAAAAGGCTTATTCTAAATTCCATTTCTTTCCCAAACCCTCATCTCATACCATCAAGGTATATACTCTAGGAAAGAAGACTTTCATGGTTTGTATGACTTAGGGCAACACTGAAGCTAACTCTGGAATTTTTCCCAAGTAATTTTCACACCAAAATAAACCCCAGAAACTGTACAGTGACACACAGCAGTCAGACTGACTTTTTGTTCTTTTGGTTTTTCTCTTCAGTTTCCTTTCATGACACAATGAAATCACAGTTCTCTGGGGCATGCTACGTTACCCTGGAAAGAATTATTTTGCAAAAGATATATAATAAAGGGAATTAAATAAATATGGCCAAAGTGATTTTGAAATAAATAAGCGTACATTTTACAGTATTCTACAGTACGGACAGTAAGTGAAAGACAGTTTTATTTGGATATAACTACCTAAAGTACGAGCCATTAAAATTATGATTATTTTGCTTAAACAAAAATGTTGAAATGTAAATTTCTACTTCCGTTAGGAAAAAGGTTTTTAAATGACATTTGATCTGCAGGCCACAGCCATTTCTACAGTATCACCAAACAGCTAGCTAGCAAGATTGTCAGGGAGACATCTGCCTCAGGAATAGTCCCTGTAGCGATGTGCAACGCCAGCATTTCCATTTGACTCCAGATACGTTCAAAGCCGGGGCCCATACGCTCTGCGTGTGGGATGATTGACTGCGGGGCTTAGGAAGCAGTTGTGAATTAAATATGGGATTCAGGTCATCCGAGTTTCATTTGAAATCCGGTTCATGCATAGCCTTCTGTTCTGATATGCTCCCTTCCTTCCAGACTGGAGTACGTGCCAGCTGAGTGAGAAGGCAGTTTGTGGAAATGGCATGAAAACGAGGATGCTGGATTGTGTTCGAAGTGATGGCAAGTCGGTTAACCTGAAATATTGTGAAGAGGTGAGGGGATGCTTTGTTATGTCTTTGCGAGTAAATTCTTCCCTAATAATTTCAATTCATGCTGAGCCAAGTGACCTGACCAGCGCTTTATGCAGCTCGTTGCCAGCAGATGTTTTCGGCACTATTCAGAGGCTGCTAAACACTCTCTCGAAAAGAGACACTGTCCAGCACTACTGATTTCTACACGTAATTTCCTGTATTTTGTTCTGCCTGGAGCCCAAAGGTATGCTAATTAGCCTATTCTGAAAGAAATGCTCGGGGAACAATAAGTAATCAAGGTGAATATAAAGGCAATAAATCTTAATCAGACCACTCATCATCTCTTGTAATTTCATATGAGTTTTGTGTTCCCTGGGACACCTGCCAAGAGCCATCATTCATTCTCTCTGTTGCAAAACATTGATCGCGTGTGGTTCGGTAGCAGATTTTGATATTAGGATCTGATACCCAGCTGTGAGAGTCCAAGACTCAGGTCTGGCTAAGAGAGAGCTTGAAGTTCAAACAAAGGAATAGAGTCTGCCATTAGTGTCTTTTAGGTACAGAGAATTGTAACTGTTAATTCTCCAATTTACGAAAGTGATGTTATCATTTCGAACATGACCTTAGGAAACGCGAGAAAACATAGTTGTTGTCCTTCGGTAGTATTCACGAAGCTACACTTTGGGTTTTGATCATTTTGTCTGGTTTCCAGACCAAAAGGGCACTCACATTCCTGACAGATTTTGACTCCTCTTGCATCTGAGGCCACTGGGTTAAACATGAACCAAGATAAGCAACAGCCTCCACAGACCTGCAACACCCGGGAGGAACTTATAACCTCATTAGGGTTCAGTAGACTTGGGACCATGACGTCTGTCTACACATTCTAGGGGTTACTATAAGCTCGTGGTAAATTATTCAAACTCCTAAGGGAAAACTCAAAATGGAAATATTTTAATCCATTTGATATCTTTGATATTATCATGTGGACCTAATTTATCTGTATCTCTGTCCATGGGAACAGAGCTCCCAAGTGTGCTGAAAACAAATTGTTGAGTTAATAAATTGCTCTGTCATCTTATAACATAACTTAGTCAATTACTGCTTTAGATTGCATCAGAAATTTTATACCTGAATCAGTCTGGCTTTGAAACTAATAACATCGAAGTGATGTGATCATTACAAAAATAACATTATTATTAATGAACGTTATTATAGTTATATACAGGCTGGAGAGCTTTCTGTGGTCTACCTCTAGTTGGCTAATATGTCTCTTTTTTTGCAAGTGCACATGTAAGTGTCCTCCTGGGTCAGAATGAGATAACTATTAATAGCTCTGAGAGCTTTTAGAAAGCTAAACCCAAATCATACAAGACCAGTTTTTAAATATCTCATGACTACAGGACAAAGATATAAATAGGGCCTTTTATTTCTTAAGTGAAACGTGGGTAAAAACCTGAGAAATAATTTTAAGTATCCAGGAGCCTGGATAAATTTACTTTTATGTACAAATATTATAATGTTTGAATACTGTGATGACAGGGATTCAAATCATAACATTTTAGTAAACCCTGTATTCAGGGAGAGCAGTGCTACTCTCTGCGGGAATTGGATTGAACAACTCATATCCCATTTTATCCACCCTAAAAAGCAGTAGACTTAAATAATAGCCCTGAGAAAAGCTGGCTATCTTTTTTAACAGTAGATTGCCTACCTACTAATACATGTGCAAACCCTGAATTGAGTGTAACAGCAGTAGCTAACTCTTGCTGTTTCTCTAACAGCCCAAAAGAAAGATGGCATTACTGTCCAACAAAGAGGAAAATTAGGGTTAAATCCATCCAGCATTTATATAGCACTTTTGTCTTTGATGTTTTTCAGACATTAATTCACCAGATACCTAATAACTGGTTTCTCCTTTCCTATTCGTTTATCCCTGAACATATGTTTAGATAAATGATAGATTAGATAGATGATAGGATAGATAGATAGATAGATAGATAGATATAGAGAGAGAGGAGAAAAAGTAGCTACAACAAATTTAAGAGAAAAAGTAGTACAGAGTTGAAATGTCTTACTACTGGGTACCCAAAATATCTGTAAACAGACATCCTTTTTAACCCTCTAGCAAAATAAATGAGCCAGTAGTAGTTGAATTCTGTGGTTCAAAACCTTTCTCCATGAAGCTATTAGGTACCTTAAATTTAACACATCTTTTTTATCGTATCACCTTAAAACTTGTAATCTCCAGTGATTATAAGTGATTTAATTTAATTTTAAATTAAGTGATATGGTAAAAGTTTTCATACCAAATACTCAGCTTTGTCAAGTATTACTGATGGAGACTATAATGAGAGTGTTTACAGAGGGATCTGGTACCTAAATCGTCGATCTGATCCTCTCTCAGTGCATAACTTAGAGCCAAGAGTTCTACTTGAACCGCAACATAACATTTCAGGAAAACTTTCTTTTGCCATTTTCTGCTCTACAAATTAGACACTATAAACTTACTTTCATGCAGAAATAAAAAAGGTCTTGAAAATCCCCAAGGATGACTACTTTAAAAAATTGCACTTTCCTAAGAAGCTCTTATTTTTTCTATTTCAATGCCACTTTGTACCTTTGACTTTTTAAATGTTTGAATATACAGTGGATGAGTTTGAAATCTCATCCTTCATTTTAAGCGTAGAATACTTAAATAAGTAATGCTACTTAATGCAGTAAAATGCACAACATTATTATCTGATGAGAGACTAATGCCAAAGTAACAATTACACCACAGTTAGCTGCTGAGATCAGTTCTGGAAGAGAAAATCTTTTTAAAAAAATAATAAATGTATATAAAATATTCATAATAAAAATTCTAGTGACCCACCCCTCCTTTTGAGAGAGGTAGCTTACTTTAAAACTATTTTATATTATTTTAGTACATTATATTTTTGGTTTTGAGTGGCAACTGGTCTTTAACCTCGCTCTTTTTTCAGTTTGACATGCACATGTAAAAATAAATAATATCCCCCAAATACAATTATATATCTGTATAGTGCTGATATTCTTGCTTTTTAACTAATAGAAAATATTTGTGCTTCCACCTATTTATTCCTCCTTGAGGGAAATTCAACTAATTTGGAGATTAAATCTTCCTTTTTTCACTTTTTATATAAAAAATTCAACAATATATAAGTATACTGAGTAAATGGGCTCCTCTATTCATCCTGTTCCTTTTGCTCCCACTCTCCTGGATTGAACCACTTTATATTTTTAACAGTTTGGGTCTTTGTACTGCAGACATCTTTTTATTTTATTATGCATATTGCTTATTCTTCCTCTTCTCTCATCCCCGCTCCAATCTTGCCCTTCCTTCTTCCTTCCATCAACACTGCACTGTGGTCATGCCTTCCTGTCAGTACAAATAGATCTACCTCTATCCTTTCAGCTCGGCCTGGAGAAGAACTGGCAGATGAACACGTCCTGCATGGTGGAATGTCCTGTGAACTGTCAGCTTTCTGACTGGTCTCCTTGGTCAGAGTGTTCTCAAACGTGTGGCCTCACAGGTTTGTTTGTGCTTTATTTGGCATTAGACTGATGGTCAAGGAATATGAAATAAAATGTCCCTCTTGCTTTAAGTCATATCAAATAATCTACAGAAAGGTTGAATCAGGGTATCTGATTCAAAACATCTAAGCCTTACTTGTTCCTCTAATTTCGGAAGAAATGTCTGACGCCTTCTCCTAGTAAGACATATGCTTGGGCTTCCCTGGTGGCGCGGTGGTTGGGAGTCCGCCTGCCGATGCAGGGGACGCGGGTTCGTGCCCCGGTCCGGGAGGATCCCGCATGCCGCGGAGCGGCTGGGCCTGTGAGCCATGGCCGCTGAGCCTGCACGTCTGGAGCCTGTGCTCCGCAGCGGGAGAGGCCACAGCGGTGAGAGGCCTGCATACCACACACACACACACACACACACACACACACACACACACACAAAAAAAAAAAATATATATATATATATTATATATGCTTGCACAACTGTAGTGTATCACTGAGGTTGCACCACTTTGTATCTCTTAAAGGAAAAATGATCCGAAGAAGAACAGTAACCCAGCCCTTTCAGGGTGATGGAAGACCATGCCCTGCCCTGATGGAACAGTCTAAGCCTTGCCCAGTGAAGCCCTGTTATCGGTGGCAATACAGCCAGTGGTCTGCATGCCAAGTGCAGGTAACCAATCTCAAAAAGTTGTATGGAAGTGTGTATTCTTTATCTGGAGAGACTTGGTTTCAGAAATATTTTCAGAGCTTACAGATAGCATGTTTCCTGTTAAAGATTTTAGGTACCTTGCCATTTCATAACTGTTTAATTGGTTTCGATAACAAGCACTCCCTGTCCTGTATTTTAAAACCATTTGGAGACTGATTCATTTTAATGAAAATTTATTTGCCTGTCTTTGGCTAGAAAACAAATAAATTGTTCATGCTATGCTTTATAGCTACTGCCCTATAGGACTTCTTCCCTAAGGTTTCAAATGCTCCTTTAACTGCTCACAAATCAAAATCAATGGTGCAGAGATGACTGTCAGCGATAAGCTAACTAATGAATTATTTTTTTCCCTAATTATGTCTTCCTCCATTTCAGGATGCCCAGTGTGGCGAAGGGACCAGAACAAGGAATATTTCTTGTGTAGTGAGTGATGGGTCAGCTGATGATTTCAGCAAGGTAGTGGATGAAGAATTCTGTACTGATATCGAACCCATTATAGATGGTAATAAAAAAGTGGTTCTTGAGGAAACCTGCACCCAGCCTTGCCCAGGTAACAACGGCAAAACAGAATTCGTACTTTGGCCATTCCTTACCAGGACCAGGGTGGAGAAGGGGTTGCACGTATAAGTTTAAGTTAAGAGACATCAACAGTCTTCTCATTCAGTAATATCTGTGCCAACAGCTAGACACTGTAGCGTGGATGAAGGGGGGGCACTGCCTCCTTACTGCCAGGTGGGGGTGAAGTCCAGTTCTCCTACGTGGCGTCTGTTGACACTCACCCCCCCTCGAGTTTTAACTTCTGCAAAGAATGGAAATTAAGGCCTTAGGCTCATGCTTGACAGGGAGAATATGAAAATTCTACCCCTAGATATATTAGCTAAAATATATTAGCTATTAGATATAATAGCTAAAATTCTACCCCTAGATAAATTACCATTCAAGAGTGAGAAGAAATAGTATTATGGAAGAAAATTTTGAATGAAAGAAATTCTGATTCAGTGTTGGACACAGAGGTACAAGCAGGAAAATGTAGAAAGCAAATGTATATCAAGTAGTTTAGAAATAAATAGCAGGCAGTGATAAGTTAATGATTAGGAATTTGGGCTTGATGCAGAGGACTTTAGGGTAGATAGAAGGTCAAAATAACCTCAGTGTCAAGCATGACCCTATGGCCTTAAGAAAGATATAGGGGCAACAGTGTTTTGGTGGGCTAGAAAAGAACAAGATTGGAAGTGAATTGCCTGTCTTTTTAATTTTCATTTTATATTGAAGTTTAGTTGATTGACAATATTGTGTTAGTTTCAGGTGTACAGCATAGTGATTCAGATGTGTGTGTGTGTGTGTATGGTCTTTTTCAGATTCTTTTCCCATATAATTAAAAAATATAAGTAGAGTTCCCTGTGCTGTACAGGTCTTTGTTGATTATCTGTTTTATATATGGTACTATGTATATGTTAATCCCAAACTTCTAATTTATTCCTCCCCCTCACCTTTTTCCTTTGATAACCATAGATTTGTTTTCGACGTTTGTGAGTCTGTTTGTTTTGTAAATAACTTCATTTGTATCTGACTTCATTAGATTCCACATATAGTGATATCATATGATATTTGTGCTGCAATGAACATTGGGGTGCATGTATCTTTCTTTACGGATTATGGTTTTCTCTGGATATAAGCCCAGGAATGGTTTTGAAGTTCATTTCTCTAATAATTAGCAATGTGGAGCATCTTTTCATGTGCTTCTTGGTCACCTTTATGTCGTCTTTAGAGAAATGTCTTATTTAAATCTTCTGCCCATTCTTTAATTCTGTTGTTTTTTGGGGGGGTGTTCGTTTGTTTGTTTGATATTGAGTTGCATGAGCTGTTTGTATATTTTGGAGATGACCTTGTCAGTCACATTGTTTGCAAATATTTTCTCCCATTCTGTGGGTTGTCTTTCCGTTTTGTTGATGGCTTCCTTTGCTGTGCAAAAGCTTCTAAGTTTCATTAGGTCCCATTTGTTTATTTTTGTTTTTACTTCCATTACTCTAGGAGGTAGATCCATAAAGGTCTTGCTGCGATTTATGTCATAGAGTGTTCTGCCTATGTTTTCCTCTAAGCGTTTTATAGTGTCTGGTCTTACATTTAATCCATTTTGAGTTTATTTTTGTGTATGGTATTTGAGAATGTTCTAATTTTATTCATTTACACATAGCTGTCTGGTTTACCCAGCACCACTTATTGAAGAGACTGTCTTTTCTCCATTGTATATCCTTGACTCCTTTGTCATACATTAGTTGACCATAGGTGCGTGGGTTCATTTCTGGGCTTTCTATCCTATTCCATTGATCAATATTTTTGTTTTTGTGCCAGTGCCATACTGGCTTTTTTTCCTCTTTAATTTTTATTAGAGTATAGTTGATTTACAATGTTTTGCTAGTTTCTGCTGTACAGCAAACTGAGTCAGTTAAACATATACATATATCCACTCTTTTTTAGATTCTTTTCCCATATAGGTCAGTACATTGAGTAGAGTTACTGTGCTACACAGTAGGTTCGTATTACTTATCTATTTTATATACAGTAGTGTGTATCTGTGACTATTTCTGTTTTGTAAATAGGTTCATTTGTACCATTTTTTCAGATTCCACATATAAGCAATATCATATATTCGTCTTTCTCTGACTTACTTCACTGAGTATGACGAGTCTCTAGGTCTGTCCATGTCACTGCAAATCGCATTATTTTGTTCTTTTTATGGCTGGGTCTCTACAGACAGCATATATTTGGGTCTTGTTTTTATATCCATTCGGTCCGTCTATGTCTTTTGGTCACAGCATTTAATCCAAACCACTTCAGACCTAGGGACACATACAGACTGAAAGTGAAGGGATGGAAAAAGATATTCCATGCAAATGGAAATCAGAAGAAAGCTGGAGTAGCAATACTCATATCAGACAAAATAGACTTTAAAATGAAGACTATTAAAAGAGACAAAGAAGGACACTATATAATGATCAAGGGATCAATCCAAGAAGAAGATATAACAATTGTAAATATTTATGCACCCAACATAGGAGCACCTCAATATATAAGGCATATGCTAACAGCCATAAAAGGGGAAATCAACAGTAACAATATTTGGGGACTTTAACACCCCACTTACACCAATGGACAGATCATCCAGACAGAAAATTAATAAGGAAACACAAGCCTTAAATGACACATTAGACCAGATGGACTTAGTTGATATTTATAGGACATTCCATCTGAAAGCAGCAGAATACACTTCCTTCTCAAGTGAACATGGAACATCCTCCAGGGTAGACCACATCTTGGGTCACAAATCAAGCCTTGGTAAATTTAAGAAAATTGAAAATTTTCCGACCACATGCTATGAGATTAGAAATCAATTACAGCAAAAAAAAAAAACTGTAAAAAACAGAAACATGTGGAGGCTAAACAGTATGTTACTAAATAACCAATGAATTACTGAAGAAATCAAAGAAGAAATCAAAAAATACCTAGAGACAAATGACAATAAAAACACAATGATCCAAAACCTATGGGACACAGCAAAAGCAGTTCTAAGAGGAAAGTTTATAGCAATACAGTCTTACCTCAGGAAACAAGAAAAATCTCAAATGAACAACCTAACCTTACACCTAAAGCAACTAGAGAAAGAAGAACAAACCCAAAGTTAGTAGAGGAAAAGAAATCACAAAGATCAGAGCAGAAATAAATGAAATAGAAACAAAGAAAACAATAGCAAAGATCAGTAAAACTAAAAGCCAGTTCTGTGAGAAGATAAACAAAATTGATAAACCGTTAGCCAGAGTCATCAAGAAAAAAAGGGAAAAGACTCAGATCAATAAAATTAGAAATGAAAAAGAAGTTAAATGGACACCACAGAAATATACAGGATCATAAGAGACTACTACGAGCAATTCTATGTCAATAAAATGTACAACCTGGAAGAAATGGACAAATTCTTAGAAAGGTACAATCTCCCAAGACTGAACCAGGAAGAAATAGGAAATATGAACAGACCAATCACGAGCACTGAAATTGAAACTGTGATGAAAAAACTTCCAACAAACAAAAATCCGGGACCAGATGACTTCACAGGCCAATTCTATCAAACATTTAGAGAAGAGTTAAACCTACACTTCTGAAACTCTTCCAAAATCTTGTAGAGGAAGGAACACTCCCAAGCTCATTCTACAAGGCCACCATCAGCCTGTTACCAAAACAAGACAAAGATATTGCAAAAAAAGAAAATTAAGAATTTTCTTAATTCTGTAATAAAATTAAGAAAATTAAATGTAAGACAGAATACTAAAAACTTAGAGGAAATATAAGCAGAACACTCTGACATAAATCACAGCAAAATCTCTTTCGATCTATCTCCTAGAGTAATGGAAATAAAAACAAAAATAAACAAATGGGACCTAATTAAACTTAGAGGCTTTTGCACAGCAAAGGAACCCATCAACAAAACGAAAAGACAACCCACAGAATGGGAGAAAATATTTGCAAACAATGTGACTGACAAGGGATTAATCTCCAAAACTTACAAACAGCTCGTGGAGCTCAAAATCAAAAAAACACGCAACAGAATCAAAAAATGGGTGGAAGACCTCAATAGACATTTCTCCAAAGAAGACCTACAGATGGGCAGAAGGCACATGAAAAGATGCTCAACATTGTTAAGTATTACAGAAATGCAAATCAAAACTACAGTGAGATGTCACCTCACACCAGTCAGAATGGCCATCATCAAAAAATCTACAAAAAATAAATGCTGGAGAGGGTGTGGAGAAAAGGGAACCCTCCTACCTTCCTGTTGGTGGGATTGTAAATTGATACAACAACTATGGAGAACAGTATGGAGGTTCCTTAAAAAACTAAGAATAGAGCTACCATATGACCCAGCAATCCCACTCTTGGGTATATATCCAGAGTAAACTGTGGTTCAAAAGGATGCATGCACCTGATGTTCACTGCAGTGCTGTTGACAATATCCAAGACATGGAAGCAAACTAAATGTCCATTGACAGAGGAACAGATAAAGAAAATGTGGTACATATATACAATGGAATATTAGCCATTAAAAAGAATGAAATAATGCCATTTGCAGCAACATGGATGGACCTAGAGATTATCATACTAAGTGAAGTAAGCCAGACAGAGAAAGAGAAATATCATATAATATCACTTATATGCAGAATCTAAAAAAAATAATAATGAACTTATTTACAAGACAGAAACACAGACTTAGAGAACAAACTTATGGTTACCAGGGAGAAAGGCAGGGAGGGACAGATTGGGAGTTTGGGATTGACATGTACACACTACTATAGATAACCAACAAGGACCTACTGTATAGCATAGGGAACTTGGCTCAATATTCTGTAATAACCTAAATGAGAAAATTTGCAAAAGAATGGATACTTGTATGGGTACAACTGAATCACTTTGCTGTATTCCTATAACACATCATTATTTATCAACTATACTCCAATATAAAATAAAATTAAAAAAAAAGAAATCTGTGGTAAACGATGTGAAGAAAAACTGCAAGATCCCATAGTAGCATAGAACAGGCAATTCACCATTTTAATTAAAGCAATTACAAATCCAGGAGGAGGCTGGTCTTCTCTTGTAAATTACAATCTATTCATTTTCATTCCTCTCTTGCTAGTTTTCTCCAATGATGGCTTTTGAAAGCTAGTAGCATGTGAGCTTATAAGCTTTAAAGAGTAGAATACTGAAGTAGGAAATGCATTTCAAACACTTAATATCTTTGGTAGGCAGAGTGTAGTTTTATTATTACAATGTTTTATATGGTCAAAATTTAAAAATATATTTAGTACAAGTCAGTGCCCCACACTTATTTGCTGTTATTAAATCTTTGAAGCTTGACATGGATTATCCTGGAGTGATAATTATATAATCCACAGACTACCATTAAAAGATTTATTGAGTTTTGTGTCAAAATACACTACATCAAGTGATACAAGCACAGAGATAAAGCCTATTAGTAAAAAGGTATATTTTACTTCCATGTAGTTTGCAGTCACTGAGGTGAAGTTACACTACATTCATATTGACAGGAGTTTCTCTATCTTATTTTTAATAGTTTCTCTTGCATAATTAAATACTGAGTAAGCATAAAGTAGCATTTCCTAGGGGATATAAATATTTATAAAACTTTACTTAAAAATTCTTCTTAGTTTCTTTTTCCTTAGCACTTCCAAAATTTACTAGAATTTTCTTCATTTTAGGATGACATTAGACAGAGTAATAATGACACACTATAGTAAAGGTGTACAAAGATCACTCCACTTGAGTATTATACATGTATCTGTTAGTCAGTAATTCATGTCTTTCCAGGATTTCTTAATCCTGGCACAAGAAGTTTTTTCATTAATCAGATCTCCTCCAGGTAACTTTGTGCTAACATTAGATATCTTCAGTATAATATAAGGCAATATAAATTATTCATGTGATATGGCTGAAATAATTAAAGTGATAAGAATCCCTTATGGATTTGTGTTTATCAAAATGTACTGCATCCTCTGAACAGTATCACCAAGCAGTCAGTCCTGAAGAATGAATGAGTATACGAGAAAGGTGTATTTCATTAAATCTTCCCTGTTCTGAAAATGGTTGAAGATGAACACATGATATACTACGGCCCAACAATTCCTGTATAACTGTAACTATTTTCTAGTTATATACCCAAAATAAATGCATATATAAGTTCACCAAAAGACTCATACTAAAATGTTCACAGCAGCGGTATTCATAATAGGAAAAATTTACAACTCTCCACATGCCCATCCATAGTAGAATCGAAATGTAAATAGTGGTATGTTTATAAATAAAGCACAGCACTAAAAATGAGCAAGTTAGAGCAACATAAATATGTGATGGTTCTCAAGACATAAATGAGTGAAAGAAACCAGACATTAAAAAAGTACATACGGTTCTATTCCACGTATAGCATGAGGAGGGTTTCTGAGATTCTGAGAATGCTCTGTTGCTTGATTTGGAGGTTGGTTACGTGGGTATTTAATCAGGCTGTGAAAATTCAGCTATCTGTGCATTTATAATGTGTCATCATTTTGCATGTATATTACTCTTCAATAAATAATTGAAAAAAAGGGAGGAAGTTGACTGAAGATGTAGATCAGAGAAATTGTGTGCATTATTGCCACTACTGCAGCTGCTTGGTTAGCTGTCTCACCTCCACAACTTTGGTAAGAAACAGAAACCAAGCATAAATACCAGCTTTCTCAGCCTTGGACTTCAAGCTCTTTGAAATTTTGAACGCCTAGGAGACAAGTCCTGTGTATATTTCGATTTTCTTTTAATAGTACCAAGTGCTTAATAAACCCTTTTATGATGATAATGACAAGAGTGATAGTAGCAGGTTTTAATCAAGTATTGTTGTCACTTAAGAGAAGGGAAATCATGATGGACAAGTTCCTTCAAACCATAGTTTACCTTTGATATCATTAAGCAGCACATATGCTATACTCAGTAACATCCACTCAGAAAATAACACTATTAATACAAACTTACAAAACCACATACAAACTTGCAAATATTAAATACTTAAACAAATCTTACAAATATCATGAATGACTGGCATACCTAAAAACATTGCTCAGTCGGGTTAAACATAAAATGATTATCTGGCTGGCTATTCTTTATGGGTATCGGTATAAACTACAAACTTGTGGTTTGCAGGTGACTGTTATTTGAAGGAGTGGTCTTCCTGGAGCCTGTGTCAGCTGACCTGTGTGAATGGTGAGGACCTAGGTTTTGGTGGAATACAGGTCCGTTCCAGAGCGGTGATTATACAAGAGCTAGAGAATCAACATCTGTGCCCAGAGCAGATGTTAGAAACAAAATCATGTGATGGTGAGTGCTACTATTCATAAAATCTATTTATTTTAGTTTTGTGTTGATAAGCAAAAGTATAAGATATAAAATTTTCTGTTGAATAAGCAAATTTGCTAAGCTATCACTTAAAGTTGAGAATTCAGGGTATGATTCTGAATTCTAAATATTTAGAGAATAAAAGTCTTGCCACCCTTCATAAATGAAATATTGTAAAAGTATTTCCAAGTTTTATGAGCTAAAGAAGGCTGAGATGATTAGGAGCAAGTTATTTGTACACCTGTAGCAACCCTGATGATGTGTGAATGTAAGAATATCCTCAATTTATTTAAAACAAAAGAGAGAAAGAAAAATTACAAAGCAACAGCAAAATGAGATATTTTACTATATTCTCAGAAATTGATAAATCTAAGTATTGGTAAGGATTAGTCTAAATTTGACATACAGCATATATAAAAATACATCTTTATATGTCTGTGTGTATATGTGTACATACACATAGAGCCATGCACCCAATATAAGCAATAGATGACATTCACAAGAACCACAGAGCGTTAAAATGTTCTAGTTTGGGAACACAGAAGAAATCTAAATGAAAAAAAAAGAATTGTTATCTAGTGGAGAATGTCTTGCTCAACAAACAACCCTCTCATTCCCGCTTGTGTTCTGAAGCAACTGAGTATGACATATATTAGCAAATAGGAGCCAAAATAACATCTATATTGCTGAAAAGTTGAAGAAAGCTTAGAATGTTGGAGAACAATGCTTAGAATGAAAGCCAATTGAGCTAGATGCCTTAACCCAAGAATTATAGAATTATCTACCTTCTTAGTTAAGTCTTCCCAAATTTACCAACCAGATAAAAAACATTTCATATTCCTGGGTAGGTAAAGGAGAGAAAGGACAGAGGTTACAATAAATGAAATAATTCCCAAGAAAAGAAAAAGAATTGTTTACCCTGAAATGACAATGAAGTAAAATTAGGAATCAGTAAAAATTGCCAAGAAACTCTCCCCATGCCCACACAGAAGTGAAAACCGAAAGCTACGTTTCTAGAGCATTACATATCAAATGTTATGCAGGATGCAGCACAGAAGTACTTAGAAGGTAATGTGAAGCTTTACATTCTTATATAGGAGGGAGAAAAGTTTAATAAGAGCTAGACTTTCAGGCTTCCCTGGTGGCGCAGTGGTTGAGAGTCCGCCTGCCGATGCAAGGGACACAGGTTCGTGCCCCGGTCCGGGAAGATCCCACATGCCGCGGAGCGGCTAGGCCCGTGAGCCATGGCTGCTGAGCCTGCGCGTCCGGAGCCTGTGCTCCGCAACGGGAGAGGCCACAACAGTGAGAGGCCCGCGTACCGCAAAAAAATTAAATTAAATTAAATTAACAAATAAATAAAAAGAGCTAGACTTTCAACCCAATTAAAAAAAAAAAGGGAAATAGAGTGTATACAGTACTGATAAATACAAATTCAATGAGACAGGAAACAAATAAACAAGATAATCAACAAAGCCAATAGCTTGTTTTTTGACCAAACTAACAAAATAGACCACCTCATGCATAATCAATGAAGGAAAAAAAAGGACAAAATTACTACTAATAATAAGATAGTGTTTAAAAATATAATTCTATGAAAAAATTTTGCTAATAAATGTAAAAACTTGACAACAATTTAGAATGTTATTTATCAAGAGTAATAGAGAAGCTAAACCATAGATTCTGCAACTATTAAAAACACAAGTCTATCAAATATTCTCACACATGCACACACACTAAAACCTAAATGGCTTTAATTATGAGTTTCACTAAAATTTAAAGAAACAGACAACTCCCATTTATTGTGAAATCTTAAGAAATAAAACAAAGTTGGGTAGAAAAAAAAGATGACGAAAATCTCCCCAATACAACACCAAAATCACAAACAAAAATGAAAAACAAAAATTCTTTCAAATCAAAATTTGAATCTTCTACACTGTAAAATAGATCATAAACAAAGTTACCGGACAAGCCACAGACTTAGAAAAGATATTTGTGAAGTCAATTTTAAGGAATTAGCGTCTAGAACAACTATCCTAAATCTTTTCAGCATTCCAAGACAATTTCATACTTGTAAAATTGCTGAGTACCCCAAACTGCTTTTCTCTGTGACTTATATATATCAAAATTTTTCATATTAAAAAATGACAACTGATGTTTTAAAATACTTGATAATTTATTTAAAACAATCATAAATCAATTTGTTACCATAAATATTTCCTGAAAAATAACTATTTTCCAAAACAAAAAGAAAACAACTTTAATGACAGTCATTGACTCGTTTTACACTTTTTCAAATCTCTGGCTTAACATCTGGCTTAACAGAAGACAGCTGGCTTCTCTTCTGTGCTTCTGCATTCAGTCTATTGCCATCTTAGTTTAGTTTATGTATATGAAGAAAATCCAGCCTTACTTACCCAGGTGTGTAGTTAAAGGGGAAAATCATCACACACGTACTCTGAAAGAATGTCGAAGTCTTCCCTGGTCCCTGGACCATAATTTGAGAATTGTTATTCTAGAATAAAAAATTCCCACAACCCAATATTAAAAGGCATATATTTCAGTAGAAAAAAAGGGGTGGGGGGAGCCAAAAGATATACATAAGCAATTCACAAGAGGAAATCTAAATGCCCCAAAACATTTTTCTCACTGTTTAATAGCTTTGGTAATCAACTACAAGTTAAAAATGACAAGATAGCTTTCCACACCCACAAGACTGACAAGAAATTTAAATCTGGAATTTATAAATGTTTGTGAGGGTTTAGAGTAATAGTAACTCTTATTCAGTGCTGGTGGGTATATAAACTGTCACCTTTTAAAGAAAAGAATAAGCTGTATTTAGTAAAGTTTCAGCTATCCCTGCAATGATACCCAGAAATTTCCCTTCTAAATATTTACCTTGAAGAAGCACCAGGAGGCTTGCACAAGACTGACCACTGAGGCACTGTTATAATAGCATAAGTTGAAAACAACCTAAAAGTCCACCCATAGAGGAAATAGATAAATAAATTGTAGATAGTACCATGGAATTCTATGTAGCAGTTAAAATAAATTGACTATGTCTGCATTAAAAAAATCACATAGAAATATTTCATTTATAACATTTTATGTTACATATAACATTGACTATTAAGTTTCAAAAAGATGTATGTATCATATGTATCAGTATGATACTTTTTAAATTTTAAGACTGCCTAAAAAACTTCCCTGGTGGCACGGCGGTTAAGAATCCGCCTGTCAATGCAGGGGATATGGGTTCGACCCCTGGGGTTCGGGAAGATCCCACATGCTGCGGAGCAGCTAAGCCCGTGCGCCACAACTACTGAGCCCACGCTCTGCAACTACTGAAGCCCACGCGCCTAGAGCCTGTGCTCTGCAACAAGAGAAGCCTGCGCACTGCAATGAAGAGTAGCCCGTTTACCACAACTAGAGAAAGCCCACGTGCAGCAACGAAGACCCAACACAGACCCAAAAAAAACACCTAAAAATAATTCTATAAATAATTTATAGATTGTATATATTTATACTTACATTCTATTTATATTAAAAGAATTAAAAACATGTCACAGAAATGCATGTATCTACTTCAGAAGACTGGGTATTGCTGGAGAAACAAAGAGGGACATCAGATCAGGAAGCAATATAATAGAACTTCAAGTTTATTTGTTACTTTTTTTTACTCATCAACAACCAAAAATAAAGCAAATATGACTAAATGGTAATATTAGTTAAAATTGAATGATGGGTAATTGAATATTTTTTAAATTATTCTCTGTCCTTGTCTGTATGTTGGATATTTTATAATACTTCAAATAAACATAAAATTAAATTGAAAATCCAGGTTCACATTAGATAGTATGACAGCAGACATAGAAAATTAGTTGGAATTTAGGTATGTATCTGGAATTTTGTAACATTTATATGGCAGCTTCTGGATAATAACTTGACATTTGAATCATTCAGGATGGACTTCTCATCCCTTTCCAATTGTTTATAAATATTTTATTAATACCCTATCTCCATGATTGTTCTGCTGGCCTATAGAATGCCTCTGTTAATGTTTATTGTGTTCCTGCAGAGGGACAGTGTTACGAGTATAAATGGATGGCTAGTGCTTGGAAGGGCTCTTCCCGAACAGTCTGGTGTCAAAGATCAGATGGTATAAATGTAACAGGTAAACCTCCCATTTCTTTGTTCTTTGAAAGTCTTACTGTAACACACATGTAACTGGTTAAAGAAAATAATTAAGAAAACAAAGATATTCTTTGAGTATTCCACACATGGTTGGGTTCACGACACCTGAGCTGTGCACCTGATGACCAATGACAAATTATTTTGCTGTTTAATGTTTCAACTAAATTCTCCCTCACCCAGCCATTTTAGACATTGCTGCTATAATTTACTTAAAATACTGTCTAATTCTAATAAATGATTATAAGTAAATAATTCTCAGATTGTTTTTCCTAGAAATCTTATATATTAATAACTTACTTCTTACATGCTAAGAAAGTCAATATTTTGTTGACTCTGTTTCTGGGCCTTAAAGGCAATATACATGCAGTCCAAAAATATTGCCAAGAGAATATGATGACACAAATCCAGATATTTTGCTTAAATTCAGAAATCTATGATTTATAGTTTTTTATTAATTAATATAGAAGACCTATTGGTAAAACTCAAGCCCAGAGCATATGAGTAGCCAGTCTACCTACTCTGTCCCAAGTCAAAAATCATTGTACATTGAAAGAAGAAATCCAAATGAAAACTGTTTTTGAATCTCCTTTGACCCAAATATACCCCCAAGATCTACTCTAATCTACAGTTACTGAAGTTTCCTTATCTGAGTCCAGTAAATGCAAGGGATCCCAAAGACCCTTTGAAGAGGGAAGAAAATTGGCTCCAGAGATGGAGTGAACCACCCTGCAAATTTTCTACAAAGAAACCAGGGTCAGAACAGAACCTCAGCCTCAGGCCCATGTACCCAAAGATCTAATGTCTCTTCTTAAACAATGTATTTGTAGAGATCTAATCTATAGGAATCTCCATAGCATAGTAGCAGCCTGAGTATTGACAGTTAACTGTTCAGGGGGACCTGCTGACTTGCTGCCATTGTTTTGACCCTCTGGCAGGGAGAAAAAGTAATGTGCATTTTGTTGCCTCTGAGTAATGTCCATTTATAAATTTAACTGTAGTATCTACAGTAAGATGATAGGAGCAGGGGTTGATATGCTTTTTGGAAAGCATAAATTTTTATATTGAATTTTAAATTACCTGGATTTATTGAAACCTAATTACTAATTTCTTCCTTATGAAAGCTAGAGCAGGATGTCAGATTGTATTCTTGTGAAGATAAGATTTTAGACATGAGAAATCTGTGTTAAGAAACACTTGATAATAGCAACTCCCAGTGGATACATCTATAACAAAGAAAAGACACCTACCAAGAAACGCTTTGCTCTCTCACACTGTTATTTTCTGGAAGAAAAATCTGTTCCAAGCACACCACTCTCCGAGGCAACAGGGGGAGACAGAGTTCTGGGAAGAGAAGCATAGGCTTTCTGAACCCAAAGGCATTATAGAGGTGGTCCACTCAACTCAGCTGTTGAAAATGAATGTCTACATTCTTCTTTAAACTCTTCAGAGGGTATTTTACAGCTTCCCCAGAGGATCCTATCAGTTTTCAGTGTTTTTTTTTTTCCAAATATGGATGCAAATAATAGTTGTCTGCCTTTTCTTCTACATGTTAAAAGCTCTTTTCACACTGAAATTGGGGCTATTCCCCAATGCAAAGGTAAGTCAAATTTTAAAAGACTTACCTGTAGAAATCATATTTTCAACTTCTTTTCTATATAGGTATCCCATGTATTTATTCCCTTCTAATGCTGTTTTATACCCCCCCCAAAAAATGTGTAAATGATTGACTTGTGATAAACTCTGTATGCATTCTTCTTCCATCTTTTAGGAGAGATGAGATTCTTTATGAGAAATAGACAAGCATGTAAAGTATATTATCTGTCTTGATTGATTGCTTTAATTTTATGAATAGTTGTCCTTATAAGAAACTCAAGATGCTGCTTTACTTTGTCTTCATATGTTTAATGATGATAACTTCAATATGGCCATGTAACTGCAACTGCCTTGCAATGACTAACTGCTTTTCCATAACAATTTTTCTGTGAATATTTTGTTTATAATATAGAGAGATAAGGCAAGGAATTAATAGGTACCTTTGATTAGATTCCAAGAGGATCATCAATTCCACAAATAAAGGAAAAATCTTGCTTTGCTAAAATTCTAAGTTGAACAAGTATGGTTTGAAACTATCAGTTCTTTCCATGCCACCAATACTGTTTCTTTATGACATCTATTCTTGTCTTGAAACTTCATTATAACAACTTCAGCACACCTGGTACTGTACTTGAAGGAAGAAAGAAGAGGACTAAACAGAGAGCTGCAATGTCAAGTTAAAACAATAGTGCAGACATACACTTAGTAGCTGCCTTTGTTTTCTTATACCCCAAAACTATCCTGAATTAGTGATTTTCTCAAAAAGAAATATGTATTATAAAAAATACATACACAGGGCTTCCCTGATGGCGCAGTGGTTGAGAGCCCGCCTGCTGGTGCAGGGGACGTGGGTTCGTGCCCCGGTCCGGGAGGATCCCACATGCCGCGGAGCGGCTGGGCCCGTGAGCCATGGCCGCTGGGCCTGGGCGTCCAGACCCTGTGCTCCGCAGTGGGAGAGGCCACAACAGTGAGAGGCCCGCGTACCGCAAAAAAAATAAAAGAAAAAAAAATACATATACAAGATAGTCACATGAATTAAAGGGACATCTTAACATGAAAACTATTTATTTGAATAACCAAGAAAGAATTTTAAAAGAATATTAAATCTGCTTTTTAGTGCTGGACTTGGTCTCAGAAACTATGATAAATAGCTTGCAGGCAATTAGTGTTTTCAAAGTAGCAACTATAAAATAATCCATTCAACAGGTGCTTATTGAGCACCTGCTGAGTGGCAGGTACTTTGCTGTCTTCTCTGAATAAGAAGAGCCTCGAGACCCTAAATACAGTGGTCAAGGTCAACCAGATATTTCAGTCAGCTGCCCTCGGAAAAGTCTGTGGGATTCCCAAGGTGGTTCAGGATTCAAAGACAAGTCTACAACAATGATGTATTTTTAATCATTGCAAGAGATGCTACTTGTCAAAATATGATTTTCTGTTCTGCAGGGGGCTGCTTGGTGGTGCGCCAGCCTGATGCTGACAGGTCTTGTAATCCACCGTGTAGTCAACCCCACTCGTACTGTAGCGAGGTATGTGTGAATTCATTAGAGTAGGCAAGCCAGCTTCATCATTTGTCACCCCACTGCCTCTGGTACAATCCATTCCCCAACCCCAAAAAAGCATGTCTTGAGGCATAAAAATTCTATTTTGGGACCTCTCCTTTTATCACTATAAACAATTCTGAATGCACTTGCCTCTACTGTTAGAATAAGTCTGTAAAGGAACAAAAAGTGTGTTCTTTTTTACGTAGTTATGACAGAAATTACATGAAGTAAATTCCCAGAACAATATTTCTTTAAAGCCTGCTCTTCAAGTCAGGTCTGTTATGCTTACAAAGATCACCTTGCATGTACAGTATAAGTCTTGTTCTTCTGCAGACGAGGATGTGCAGTTGTGAAGAAGGGTACACTGAAGTCATGTCTTCCAATGGTACACTTGAGCAATGCACACTTATCCCCGTGGTGGTGATACCCACTGTGGAGGACAAAAGAGGAGATGTGAAAACCAGTCGGGCAGTACATCCAACCCAACCCTCCAGTAACCCAGCAGGACGGGGAAGGACCTGGTTTCTACAGCCATTTGGGCCAGGTGAAGTGACTAGACAGTGTTGATGTAGAATTCTTTAGCTATATATTTAACCAATACCAAAGGATTAAAAAAATGAGCAAGCATTTTCATATGAGTTAATTATTTTATGTACAGTCATTTATGTTGATACTGCCATATATTATTATAATTTTCTACTATTGTGAAAAAAGCACTCATGCTGAAAATTCAGAAAAATGAGTACTTTCTTCTGAGAAAAATTTTAGGATTGATATTATTTATTTTAATTTCAGTCCTAAATTTAGAAGTGTAATTATTTTCACATTGAACAAAGAAATCTAACAATGAAAATATTAGGAAAAAAGTGTTGTCATTCAGAACTCGAACAAATAAAACTATAAAGACGTTAAATAATTTTCCGTTTCGCCACAGAGTGTTAAATATTTGAACCTTAAACAGGAAGATCAGCAATGCAGGAGATACTTGGCAGCCAGACCAATTTCTACCAGCCCTTAGAGCTGGCACACTCAAATACTCAGAATCTATACTAGCACCAGATAAACGGGGGCAGGGATGGAGGCTTCCTGTCTAGATGGGACAATCTAAACTTGGAGACTGACCAGACACCTGTCATATTCAACAGACAGCTCGTAATGTATCTAGTAATGGACTTGAAGCCCATACAGACAAAAGCTTGAAGCCTCATCAGATGCTATCCTTACTCTGTACGTTTTCTCTCTGCAGTTGATTCAACCATATGCTTAGCCCTAGAACTAAGCTGGTGCTTAAAAATGTGCTGCAAGAGCTATATGGTAACTAAGATCATGACACTTTTTCTCACACCCTAGAGGGATGACTAGTTCATGACGGAAGGAAATCTCCAGGCAAAGCCAGGCATAAACTACTTCCTGACTCCGTTAGAAACATGAGAAAGGAAGGAAGCGATTTGCATAGCCAGCACATTTTTAATGCATTTAGTCAAGACACTTTCCCTTACTGGTGAATCACTATTGAGAATTTTTTTTTTAAGTATGTTCAATATTTGGGTGATTCATATTTAACCACATCATCCCAGTGATGATGTGGTTAAATATGAAGCTGACCTGTTTCTGTAAGCATGGGAAACTCTTCCTCTCAGTGTCCAGGACAGCGGACCAGCAAATGGCCATTTGCAGTCTTGACCCTGACCAAAAATCCAAGCAGATCTCCGCACATCAAAACTGATTTTTAAAGAGAATATTATTATTGTCGTTTTCATTTAATATATAGTTTTCCTAAAGTGAACATTTTAATATATTAAAAAGGTACACGTTTTAAGAACATACAGTTAGACCTTGCTCTTGGTTTATGAAAAACCCAAAAATATTTGTTGAATTTCTCTCGGGGCAAGTAAACCCAATAGAGCTCTTTTGATTTTGAACCCAGACTCAAATTTTTTAAATCTTTAGAATTGAGAAAAAAAAAAAAAAAGGGTATTTAGAATATTAACTTAGTTTATTTCCAGCAAGTGAACCCCTAATTGATCCAGCTCTAGGCAAAAAAAAAAAAAAAAATCATAGTACTAATTTGCTTTTGATGCCTTTCAAATATTGCATAAACCAGAGTCTCTGTGGAGTCAGTTTGCCCAATCTATAATTTTAATTCTAAAATCATATGTTTGTTTAGCTGTATGTGTGCAACAGAAAATATATGTTGGTGTGAGGATCAAGTTAGGTTAGGCAAAGTCATTAATAGTATCACTCGTTTGAAGTTTATTCAGAATATAAAACTGAGAAGTTCAAAGTGAATGAGACCAGAAAACCAAATTTTAAAAGTTTCCTATCATAAAACTGGAAAAAAAGAAAAATTCCTGTCCTGATTCCATACAATAGAAAAGACAGAAAAAAGTTATTTAGAGATCCTTTTATATGTTAATCAAACTTGGCTGTTTTTACAAAGGATATTGTCAAATCAGTTTTAAAGCACGCTCTAAGTATAAACTAGATAAAGGATTATTAATTCCAAAAATGTTAAATATATTTACTATCAGTTCATCTGGAAAAAATATTTAAATGACAAAGTTTACATTGAGATACCTGTCAGCATTAACTCAAAGCTGTAGGACTTTCTTGAAATTGCATTATTTTTTCTTCTCTTCTCACAATTGCCATTCTAAAGATAGAATGAAAATCAGAAGAAAATGTTTATATTGGCATTACACATATATTGGGTTTAAAAGAAAATTCAGGTAAGAAGCAGCAGAAATGTAGACCTGTTAACTTGATATCTGAACTTGAATTCAAACTTCATTGCTTTTCAATTCAATTTTCATTGATAATTTATCTTTAATGAAGGACCATCTAACTCACTATAGCAGCTTTGCATTAATCATTAATTATGCCTAAGCAATAATTCATTTTGAGTTTTGAAAGGACTTGGTCATATGTGACTGGTCATTGGTTGTGGTTAAAGACTGTCATATATATACCAGACTAATGTAAATTAATGACTAATATCCATTCTTCTTAGATGGGAGACTAAAGACCTGGGTTTATGGTGTAGCAGCTGGGGCATTTGTGTTACTCATCTTCATTGTCTCCATGATATATCTAGCTTGGTGAGTGTTTAAATATTTCAAAATCTAAGGGGATCTCTATTTCAGAGGAAACACTTTCAACTGGCCATAACCAAGAACAGCAATCTAATGTCTCAAATAAGTATTCCACATTAGTGTTCATCTGAATTTCTGAATAAGCATGGCTTTAGTCTTAGATTAATCTAAAAACTACCAAATCTGATCCATTTAATTTCTGAAGATGAGCCAGAGCTGCCCCAGGTCATCTTCTCAAGTGTGTTCTCCTTGGTTCTATAAGCAAACATTACTTTGTATACTTATGATGAACTGTAGATTTTTATATTGAATTACTACTGAGGAAGATATTATGGTAATACCCAATTCAACTATCTCTTAAAACATTAATTATAAATTGTGTTATTTATAAAAGTTTATGGACAGATATAAGTGATTATACTATAACATTATTTCCATTGTTCGTACTAGAGGAATTCCATTTAAACAATTCATCTTTTACAGGATAATAAAATATTTGAAGGATTCTGTTTCAAGTTTATTCAGAGCATAAAACAGAGAAATTAAAAAATCAGAAAATCAAATTTTAAGGTTGAATTTAGGCAGTGTAGGCAATTAAGCAATTTAGGTTTACCAATGTTTCCAGTTTTTTCATTTAAAACAATAAAAATTGCAATTGAATATTTTCTTTCTCCCAATTTTAATGATTTTTTTTTCTTTACAGCAAAAAGCCAAAGAAACCCCAAAGAAGGCAAAACAACCGACTGAAACCTTTAACCTTAGCCTACGACGGAGATGCAGACATGTAAACCATAACTTATCCTGCAACAACCAGTCTCAGCTTTCTACCTTTGCTGTAGATATCCAGAGGCCACAAAGCTATTCAAACTGGATGGATTAAAATACATTGTAACTTCTTAAAAGATCATCATTAAGAGTGAAAATCACAGTGCCACTGGAGATATCAAGACAGTACCACTTACATAGAAACCATCAGCCTTGAGAATTCTAGGAGATTTAGTTGAATACATGCTGTATTCTGAGAGTTTTATGTGATCTTTCTGAAATCTACCAACTGATAATTCACTTTCATCTCTAAAATACGGTGGTGGGATTGGCCAGTTAGGATGCCTGATGCAAGCCTCTGTCTGCAGTTAACCATAGTAACATTTTCGCATGAAGAGTTTATACCAAGATCTCTACACTACTATAGTCAAACATAACAACATGTATACTCAATTGATGATACACATTATGTCAGATTATGTACTTGTTAATAAGCAATTTTAATGGTGAATAAAGATAAACTCTAAACTGAGCAGAAAACCCACTGAATAAATTCAGCATCCTGGTGATTGATGATAGTTTCATTGACCTGCATTTCAGAGGCAAAGACCCTTTTATAAGACTTAATTCTTGTCTCTCTCCAAACTACAAATGCTGGACAGGTACTAGTACCTTAGAAGAGTCCTCAAGTTCAGTATTTTATAGTGGTTATTGTCTGGAAAACTAATTTGCTTGTGTTAATACAGTATGTTTCTACTTTCTCTAATTTTCAAACCGGTTGCCTGCATCTTTTTTGCTATATGGAAGGCACATTTTTGCACTATATTAGTGCAGCATGATAGGCACTTAACCAGTATTGCCATAGAAACTGCCTCTTTTCATATGGGATGAAGACATCTGTGCTCAGAGTGTCAAGGAGACATTTACAAGTTCTTGTGTCCTAAAGAGAGTAAAGTTCAGTTGGGATGGCGACAGAATGGAATTAGCTATTACATCTGCTGCACACTTCCTCATCACTGCAGCCATTGTGAAATCAACAACATGGCGGTAATTTAAGTGTTTAAATCCCGAACTCACTAACCCTCCAAAAGATGGATCCCTCTAGTTGGTTTTTAATTGTACTTTGAAGGCTGTTTATGACTAGATTTTTATACTTGTTATCTTTGTTAAAAAAAGAAAAGAAAAGAAAAAAAGGAGCTGGTTGTCTTTTTAATTTTGAGCAGATGGAAGAAATGTGTTTGTGATTTTTGTAACTAAAAGAAATCAAAATTGTGTGTTGATTTTTTCTTTCTCCCTGATTTGTTTTCCTAGTTTCAGATGGAATGTATTTCAAAATCCATTGTTTTGTCTTTCTCACCAGTAAAATTTGAAGCGAGTCTTTTTAATGTATGATATCAAAAACTAGAATTTTTAAAAGAGAAGAATAAATATTTTGTCCAGGGCTTCATTAAATATCTAGACCAAGGGTGGCACACTTTTTCTGTAAAAGGTCAGATGGTAAAGATTTTCAGCCAGGTCTATGTTGCAACTTCTCCATTCTGCCATTGTGAGAACGCAGCCATAGACAATACACAGTACAGTGCATAAAAGAATGAGCATGGATGTTTTCCAATAAAACTTCCTTTAAAAGAAGTGAGCAGACCACATTTGTTGTGGTTTGGCTGTTCCCTGGTCTAGAAGCTTTTTCAGTGCTAACTCACTCTCCATCGTGTCATCTTGAGCTTTCATTCATTTACCCTCAGACTGCGATCAGTGTTTAATTTCAGAAATGAAAAACGGTCATTCAACTTATCACTGTATTGGAAGTAGCTATATTTTTCACAGATGTAGCCCTGGGAATGGCCCAGTAAAATGATATCTAACTCGGCTGGTTTCTTTCGTATGAAAGGAAAATTCAAAAGGTGCCATTAAAAAGCGATACCATTTTTCAGGCAACATTTATTGTGACAACCTTTGGGAGACGGAAGGACGTTACGTTTTCAGGTCTTTAAAAAATAGCATCACAAGCTATTCTGTCTTAAACATAGCTGTGTTGCTATACAAGTGGTTTGGACTCGAAGGTATCTTACCTTCATACTAGAGTTTGAACTCCCCCTACTGTTTGCTAGAGTATTTGCAAAGATTACAAAAGACAGATTGGAATGTCGTTGTCCCTCAAATAAACAGATTTCTACATATTTCGATAAGCATTAAATGTGGTGAGCACTAATTCCTTATTCAACATTCACCGTATTAAGCAACATGTAAATCATTTCTAAGCAAACAGGATGTCAGGAAAATGAGAATTTTACCTTAAACCAAGGATTTGAACAAGGAAAAACAATTCCATTTCATCTGTCTTATTAAAGAGGAAGACAAAAATAATATTGTCACCCTAAAACTGTGATTGATTGTCAATATATGTACTCAGGGGTCTTCCAGATAATCCTCAAGTTGATCTCTCTGAATAAAATGAACTCCATTTGTCCAAAATGGTTGAGAAATAGTCCGTTGCCGTTACTTGAAGAGTTTCGCTGACAGTCTTACGAAACGCATGCCATACCCAATACCCTTGAAATTGTTGACTAGAATAAAATATTGTTGCTACTAATGCTATACTTACGATCATTTAAAAGTCATTAATTCAGAAAGTAGGTCAGTATCATCCTACCTATATTGTTAAAATTAAATGAATAGATCAACATTATAAAATGTCATGAAAATACAAGATGATTTTATTCATAAATCGATTACCTTTTGCAGATATGAAGGACGCTAGGTTCAATGTGATCTAACACTAGGGAGCATACTGGAAGTTCCTCATTAGGATAAATAAATACTGGATGGCCTCTTGTTAGAAAGGTACAAAGAGGAGAATGTAGCTAGCTGACTATTTTGGACAAATGAAGGTTACTATATTCATGTTTATAACATGAAAATGGCCTTATTTTTGTTCCTGGCATGAGTCAATAATGAGTTAAGTACTTTACCGGAATTTCATCAAAACCTTATTCCTCCTGTTCATTTGAAGAATTCAGGAGGGCAATATAGTAGTAACTTGTCTTACCAAAATGGTCTGTGAGCCCACAAAGATTAAGAATTACTGTTCTGTAAGTATGAAGGTTTGCTTGGTTTTAAAAAAAGAAATGAAAAACATTGACACAGTATTATGCTATTTTGTTGGACTGTTTCCATTTAAATGACATAGAAGTGGCATAACTGATCTCTCTTGAAAGAGGGTGGTTTGCTCATTCATCAATATCTAATCTAGGAAGTTGACCACAATCCTTATTTCAAAGCCTTTTTGAGGACTCTGGTGTAGCTTAAAGCTAATTTAAAAAGGAGTGCATAAAAGCATGTTTTTAATTATAACAAAGCACAAGTACCTATAACAAGACAAATATTTATTGAATTATCACATGTAAGACACTCTGCTAGGCACTGTAAAATATTAGTAATGGCTTTTGTTTACATATATATCTAAGATTCAAAACAAGGAAAAATGCTTAATGAAAATAATGAAAATGACACACACATCACCCTTCACTCCAGATTTAGTGTTCAACATGGTTAGTATTTTTCCTTATGTAATGTCCATGTCTCGGGCCATGCTGACAGGCTTTGGCTATATGGCTCCTCTACCCTCAGGCAGGTGGCAGTGGTCATAGTGGCAAGTAACACCTCTCAATTTTTATTTTAACCTCCTCTAACTCCCTGTATATCCTTCTCCTTCATGATGATGTTCAGTGCCTGGTCTCTGTCTACTCTGCTCTCTTATCAACAACTAATCTTGTCTGCTTCCCTCAGAACCACCTTCTGCTAAACATGCCTACGTTTTTAATAAGAAAAAAAAAGCGG